AAGTTTAGCATTAAATAATAGAAGAAGGAAATGTCTATGTTTAATAGCTGTTATATTACATTGACCGTTCTGACTCATACTTTGGCTATTATAAATCTCATGGCCAATTGAAGCGTGTAACAATATTGGCTGGTTCGAATAGTTTGCACTGAAATTCAATTACTAAATTAACGTGACTGTACAATTTGACTGTTATATAAAAAAATTGTAGTAATGCTAAAAATGGTTTAGTATAAAATTTTATTATAAATTTGGTTATTTTATAATTTATTTTTGAAAAAAGCAGACATTTTTATCGATTTTGCGTATAATAATTTATTTACTTTTTTTAATGTCATTATGTGGCATAGAACGAATAGAAACGAGTTTAAAAATTATTGTACGACTTAATTTCGTTAAGAAATATTAACGGTAACGTTGTCAGACGATTCGCGTCGGTGCGTATATTGCCAGGGTAAAATATTGCAGTTGCTTTATTCTTATTCCTTTTACATTCAAGTATTATTACGGCTAAGATAACATTTTTGTATATTGTTTTTACTTTAAAATATGAAATTTACTTTAGAATCTATACATATAATAAAATTGTAACTAAGCCGAATCTGTACATTAAATATTTTTTGGAAAATCTTATTGAAATAGACATTATTATCTATACAGAGGCCGAATCTATAGATTTTAGAGTTTCTGTCTGTCTGTCTGTCTGTTACCGCATTACAGAAAAACCACTGGAGGGATTTTGATGAAATTTAGTATGGTGATAGCTGGTCATCCGGGTCAACATATAGGATATCTACTTTTAAGGACTTTTTACCGCGGGAAAATGTCTCATTTCTGAGAAACAATACAAAAAGTACAATGTAAGAGTATACTTATATGTAAAACCTCAGAATTTAATTTTTGATAATCTAAACGCTTATTTCAACGCTTGAGTCACTGCAAATGTTATTGCACTTAGTCGACATTAAGAGGCGAATCATGCCATCTGCCATATATGGCAATGACGTTGTTCTTTGGATCTTTATAGCTTAATGAGCTGCGAACGGTTGTCTAGTCGGAGTGAAGCCCAAATTGGTAATGTGATGCTTTCACAAACAGATTAGTTGGCGTGCAATTAGAGTGTTGGTGCTTGCGGCGCTCTCTAAGTGCCGCCTGGCGGATTACGCCTTCGTGTTTGCTCACCATCGAAGTGGACATTTAACAATCGATTCGCTAATGCGTATTGTTCGCTTATTGCTCAATCACTAAATCATCCATCGGACATAAATATTATCTGTATATGTAATTAACTTTTCTATATTTTGAATGTACTTATTCTATGTCTTAGCTTTGAATTATGGCATTCAAGAATTCGCAACCTTAAGCTCTCTAAGCTTTTTTAATATTAAGCCCCATTTCGCTACAATCATCTATACATACAATAAAATTGTAACTAAGCCGAATCTGTACATTAAATATTTTTTTGGAAAATCTGATTGAAGTAGACATTATTATCAATACAGAGGCCGAATCTATAGTTTTCAGAATTTTTGTCTGTCTGTTACCGCATCACGAGAAAACCACTGGACAGATTTTGATGAAATTTGGTATGATGATAGCTGGTTATCTGGGTCAACATATAGGATACTTTTTACCGCGGGAAAATATCTCATTTCTGAGAAAAAATATAAAAACTGCATCGTAAGAGTATACTAATATGTAAAACCTAAGAATTTGATTTTTGGTCATCTGAACGCGGGCGGAGCCGCGGGCAACCTAATAAAAATGCAATTTTCGTTTATTACCCAAGCACATTTGCATACGTAAAATTCTCTACTTATACCTTTTTTTGCATTAAATCAATCGTTATAACATAAACTTTTTCTGCATTACATTAATAATTATAAAAGAAGTTCAGAACGAAGCCTCTCAATATTTACTCGGCGAAAAATTTGCTTAATTCTTTAAACTTAGTTCTGCTATTTTCTAATAGGTTGCTATGCTACAGGTTATATATGTGTTAATGGATTAAATTATATAATCTATACTAGCTTTGTCCGCGGCTCCGCCCGCGTTGAGACGACCAAAAACTAAATTCTTAGGTTTTACATATTAGTATATTCTTTCATTGCAGTTTTTGTATTTTTTCTCCGAAATGAGATATTTTTCCGCGGTAAAAACTATCCTATATGTTCACCCGAACCAGCTATCACCAGACGGAATTTCATCAAAATCCCTCTAGTGGTTTTTCTGTGATGCGGTAACAGACAGACAGCCAGACAGACAAAAATTCTAAAAACTATAGATTCGGCTTCTGTATCGATAATAATGTTTATTTCAATAAGATTTTCCAAAAAATATTTAATGTACAGATTCGGCTTAGTTACAATTTTATTATATGTATGGATAAATAAGAATGAATGGCTAAATGTGTTGCGTTGTTGTGTTGTGTAAATTTGAGAACGTGTGGACCAATCCGGCTATTTTTTTTAAATATTCTATGAAGTCCGAGAAAGGTTCTTATGAAGAGAAAAATTTGAAAAATTTTACGGAAAAACGTCTTTTGTCAAAACTTAACGTCAAACGAAAAGTTTGACTTTGTTTCTTTGATTGGCTTGATTTTGTGTGGAGATAGTTGGAAGGTTGGAGAGTGACATAGGCTACTTTTTACCGCGGGAGATTATCGCATTCCCACGGGAAAACACTTTATAATACAACCCACAATAACTCATCATACCTAATATGTTTGTGTATATATACATAATATATAGTCTATCTATTCCATACTAACTGATTACCTCGCTTCGCTCGTGAAGTAACGTACCTAGGGACGAACCCGAGCGAAGCGAGACCGAAACCATGCAATACCAGTACATGTATTAAATATGTGGAAGAAAAATAAAGGAAGAAATTACTTGTTGATGAAATAAAAATTCCGTCATAGTGCTGCAGCAACTTGTAAGGATATAATATGTAATCAGGTCTAATTATATACTTCCATATATGACATGTAGGCTGTAGAGCATATTATTGAGAGTCAGTCACCTTTTGTAGCGGTGGGGGCGAACACGTGGGCTATAGCCAATGAACTTGAGTGCGACGACTGCCGCGACGCATGCTAATCTTATGTTTACCGATCGCCGGATATAATTGTTTTCATTAACAAATGCATTTATGTAATAAAACCTAGAGGAATTGCACGTAGCTGACCATGTTATTATAGACTTTGCTCTACGAGTATTACCTACTTGTTACTTTAATCGTATAGAGTACATAGTATCAACTTGCAATAGTGCAAAATAATTTGGAGAAAATAAAATAGTATTTTTTGTAGTTTGAATTTGATTATAATAAGTTGATGCAATATTATATTATAACCAGCATTGCCCGCGGCTCCGCCCGCGTTCAGAGGACCAAGAACAAAATTCTTAGGCTTTACATATTAGTATACTCTTACAATGCAGTTTTTGTATTTTTCTCAGAAATGAGATATTTTCCAGCAGTAAAAAGTATCCATATAGGTTGACCCGGATAACCAGCTATCATCATACCAAATTTCATCAAAATCCCTCCAGTGGTTTTTCCGTTATGCGGTAACAGACAGATAGACAGACAAACAAAAAATCTAAAATTATACGGCCTCTGTATCGATAATAATGTCTATTTCAATAAGATTTTCCAAAAAATATCTAATGTACAGATTCGGCTTAGTTACAATTTTATTATATGTATAGATAAAATAAAGGACCTAATGAGAAATCAATTAATAACCACTGGAACGTTCAAATACCTACTAAAAATTGAGGTTTTATTCAAAACTTCTTTTATTAGTAAGTATATAAACTTAAAAAATAATATACTTTTAAGTTGTACAGATGGCAAGTAATTTAATACTTATGCTAATCTTTATAAAATATAGAGTAAAGGTTGCATATTGTTTGAGTAGATATCCATATTTTAATTTTATATGTTGCAAAACAAAGAAAACTTGTTAAACTCATATTTCACGTTGAAATTTTATTGTAGCTATAACTTACACTTAGAATTCAGGGCTAATATAAAATAATTTGATGTATATTTCACCTAATTTCATTGATTATGTATAAATATCACGCACGTCTAACGAACTTTACATATATACGAACTTATTTATGCTATTTGAACAATACAATAAATAATGACAAGTTCTTGGTAATATTCCCGTTATTAATTAGTGAATGAAAATACTTAAATGTAAAGAGGAAAATAAGCTTTTAATAATTAATTTAAATTTAAAGGGGCAACAAAAATATAAAATGTAATACATTGACCAAATCTATACAACTATTAATATAATATCATAAATATATAATATATAATTTTATCACATAAATACATAGATGTGTAAAAATTCGCCGTTTTTGTTCGTACTTTTGTTACATTTTAAGCCATAACAACGAATCCGTTTGTGCTTATAATTTTCATGTTTCCTTTTCGATTTTCTCGAAAACGGTGTGTCCCAAGTTAAAAGTAAAAACATCTACCTACATAATATACGTTCATGTTTAAGGCTGCCTCGGGATCTAAGTTTAACTTCATTAAAAGCAATTTATACTAGCCAGATTAGATTCGTTTCCGAAAAATCAGTCAATATACATAAAAAATATTCGCGTAGACATAATATCTCCGCCTTTTATTAAATTTGGCTTACAAAAATAGAAATATGTACGTATTTGGACCAATTAAAATTGACCAAGCACGGTGAGTCACATCCGCTAATTTAATATATGTATAAGATGTAATCTATTTTATCTAATATCAATATAAATTTTATTGATATAAACATGTTTTTTTATATTTTGAAATTATGGCATCATCTTCATAGTTATAGTGGTATAACTATTCTTTCTTGCTTGATTGATTCACGATGACCGTATAAGTTTATCGCTTAGCGTAGGCCGGGCAACACGGTTATTTGGTTTGTTCAACCGTTTTGCCGTGTTTATCGATTAGTCAAAAATCCGCACCCATGGGCCAACTTATATCATTTGGCCAGGAGTCAAGGACGACGCCGCGCGGCTCGTCGGTGCCATGCTGGCCTTATTTGAAGGTTGGTGGGCGCCAGTTTTACGACATCGTCTTTTTTCTACGCCCTGTTTCCATGTAAAATAATTTTAAACAATGTCTCCATTGCTGAACTGTAAATATTTAAAGCTATCTAATTTCTTAGCTCTTATCACGGCTCTGAAATAAACTTGTATATTGGAAACTTTAATTTTTACAAAGGTATCAGAAAATTAACATGATTAAAATGAAACCCAGTTCTCTTAGTCTGTGCGTCCTTAGACTTAACAATCCAATGAAAATAGGAAAATCTTTGAAAAGTCGCTGGAAATTAGTTTTAAAGAATAGTTAAACTCCCGGGGGCCTAAAACGACACACCTTGCCTTTCAAAGCAGCTCCTAAATATAACACCAGTGCGTCCTCCGGGAAGTTTGGAAGGTTCGAGCGCGCACGTGCTTTTGTCATACTTTTGTCGAGTTTTACGTACGACGTGCCACGCACTTCGATTAAGTCTTGAAAGCGTGAGTTTTTTAAAATACTCTTGTTATGTCCTTTTTTTTTGAAGATTTGACAAATATTGCTATTTTGTGTTTTCAATGCCTAATTTAATATTCTTTGTATTAAACATGGATACATATAAAAATAAATAAGTCGTATACAATATAAACCTTAGGTTCCTTCTAAACTATAAGATAATAAAACTGCCTGTAAATGTATATATATATATATATATATATATATATATTGATTTCAGCACAGTTACGAGTGGAATCTGCTCAGTAAATTAAAAAAGTTTTCTGATAAAATTGGTATATCGAGTAACAAAAAACATTTCCGAGTCTTCCACCTAATCATATAGTCTAGAAGTTTGCTTTTCATTTCTGCCATTTCAGCTTTACTAAAAAGACACCCCGTTTTGCTGCCGCGAGCAAAAAATAAAACTCTACCTTCACATTCGACGCTCATATAAAAGCAAATTTCAGACGTCACTTTTCAAAAGTGATTAGCGTGTCGTGGAGGAATAATCAAAGTTGGGTTAAAAGATTTGTTACAGAATTTACTTCTTGCATACATTATAAGGAAGGTTTTTGTTTTCTATATGTTTTTATGGCATTTTATATTTGTTAACTTTTATTTTCTTTACAAAGTTTCTCATTACTTGGACATCCTTTTATTTCACTAGCGACTCGCCCTCGCTTCTCTCGCGCTCGCTACAAACTTTCATCTCCATTTTTACCCCCTTTAAGGCATGATTTCAGGGATAAAAAGTATCCTATGTCCTTCCCAGGGTCTTAAACTATCTTCTTACCAAATTTCATCTAAATCAGTTCAGTAAATCCAGAGATTACCCCCTACAACCTCACAAACTTTACCTCTTTATAATATTAGTATAGATATAAACAAACATACTCTACAGGACATCTAGTTAGCCATTTGGAATTAAACCAAAAGCTCAGTGCTCACATCTCCCAACACTCAACTTACCGGCGGATGTCACAAATCCTAGGCGAGGGCCGGGCGGGTAAGCAAATAACAGTGCTTACCTGACTCCGCCCGTCGCCGCGCTACAGTCATGGAGATTCATAATAACGCCTTTTATTTCCGTAACTAGCTACGACGCTCTCATTTTGTCGGTTAACGCGTATTGTGACACGGCAAAACGAATGCCGCCCCGTAATGGAGTTTTTAAGCGCAGCTTTTTCGCTTCGTATTGCAAAAGGGAATTATGTAACTAGAACAGCTACGTGATTGCACAGTAAATACTATAGTAACCTCATTTATTGTTTTTAATCTTGACTCAAATTATCGCGTACCTAAATGAAAGTGGTATATCTTACTAAATTTTCACTTATTACTGAAACTAGGCCATTTCTTTATAATTGCATTAAAAATATATATGTTGATAAATCGCTTGATTAAATTTCTGTTGTGATTTTGAAAATAGCTTTATATGGAAACCCTTTTATCGACATCTTTGATATTTCTATTTTGAAAAGATCAAAAATTTCCCAAGAGGATACTATGGATCTCAGGATTGACTCAATGTATTAAGATAAAAACTTTACTGTTACATTGAGCGTATCAAATGAAGTACAGGTACAGAGGGTGCCTTGTACCTGTTTTATTTCCCAAAAAGGTAATTTTCCCAATACAATACGTCTAATGTCGTCTATCGTAAATTAAATGGAATTCACGATTAAAAGGAATTCCAAGCATTTCAGGTTTAAATACTTTCAAAGTGTTTATAAGATATGCAAAGAATGGCAAGAGCCGCTATTCAAGTGCATGTAACTCTAATCTGTTTTAATTTGTAGTAGTTTAGATAGACTATAAATGTTGAAAAAATATTAATGTTATTATTTTATGTTTATATTCTTGACAGTTGCATAATTGGATGACGACACATCGATTATCATTTAAATTTTAAATACATTAAATAAATGTTCGTAATAGTATTAAGTTCCAATTTATTGTTAAATGTTTATAAAGAGAAATATGTAAATATGGACCTGTGTATAAAGGAAAATAAATAATTTTTTTTTTTTTTAGTGACGATTGATCGATCGTACGTGATTAATCAATAGTGTGTGCGTAAATGAAGTGAGGCGCCACTGATACGCGTTCTGAAGTTCAATTTTAGCAGAACTCGACAAGAAGCCAGGCTGAGAGGCTATTGCGAGTTTAACATTGCTATAATTTGCCGGGCATATTGGAAAACTTGTAATTGGTTTAGTTTTATATTCGCGTAGCAATGTGTGCTGAACAAACTTAAATGATATCGCTTAAGATGAAATTATTGATCTCCATCGTTAACCATATACGCATATTTGTTGAATAAGGATTCGTTATTAATTAAATTTTTTTAGTATTATTCAATACTTAGTTTCTTATCATACTTTTTATTATTTTCAGATTTGGCTCGGAGTCATAGAATCTTTTTATGAAGCTCGCCTTTTAAGTAAGTTTTGCCATTTGATTAAACTTTTACACTATATTGTTTTTATCATGTTTCAAAAAATTATGCCAATTGAGATATAAATAAGACGGCATCTATCATTAACCAATGATAACCTGAGTAATGGTAGCGATCATGCGTCATATCTTTAATTGCAGTTACATGTCTTACATTAAATAAGTGTGGAGTAAGTTATTCTTAATACATTTCTTATTCTGTAGTCTCTTGTGGGCCATGCAGAGTGAACAATGACTCCTCAGTCCACTCGCCACACTTAAATGTATTTGGGTCAATGCGTGGCGGTTCCAAACGCCGCACTATCCATTTAATCAGAGCGAAACAAACGTTCACCTATATAGTCAATAACTAGCATTTGCCCGCGGCTCCGTCCGCGTTCAGATGACCAGAAACAAAATTCTTAGGTTTTACGTATTAGTATACTCTTACAATGCAGTTTTTGTATTTTTTCTCAGAAATTACATTTTCCTGCGGTAAAAAGTATCCTATACATTAAGCCCGATAACCAGCTATCACCATACCCAATTTCAAAATCCCTCCAGTGGTTTTTCTGTGATGCGGTAACAGACAGACAGACAAAAATTCTAAAAATTATAGATTCGGCCTCTGCATCGATAATAATATTTGTTTCAATAAGATTTTCCAGAAAATATTTAATGTACAGATTCGGCTTGGTTACAATTTTTTAATATGTATATTAAATTCACAACTACTGCCTTTATTGCAATAGACTATTCTTAACATTTTATTTATTATCAAAAATCATCTTAATAATATATTTATCATAGATCGAAATTTATTTTCAACGATAAACCCCGAGTGTTATTGTTCTTGTACAGACATTTATGAAAGAGAAAGTATTTGTTTTGTTTGTTGGTCCTGTCTGAATTGCTAATGCAGATAGTCATTTACCTGCCTGTGAGCACGCTCAGGTTCACAGCGGTCTAGTCCCGAAGAAACATAAGCTATTGTTTCGAGTTACCGAACCAATCCGCATTATTAAACGTTGGATTGCCTCCACGTTACTTTCAATTCACATTGTGCTTAGTTGTGGCTTCTCTATTTGTATATATAGTGGGGTCATAAAAAGATTGTCAGAATGTTACTATCAAAATGTATTTTGTTTTCTAAGAATCACAATATTTTAAATACTCTTAAGCCTTTGAAATCTACTTTTTTAATATTTTTATTATGAATGCTTAAAAATCTCGTATATTTATAACAGGAAATATTTATTGCATTTTTTGTTTTGGTTGTTAATACAATTAATGATTGAGAACATCCGTCTGGATTAATATTACAAGGCGTCCTTGACATTTAAATTCATTTGTATAGAAGCTAATTTCTTCTGTATCATTGGTATCATTCGTACAAAATTATATCGGTGCTTTATTTAATATTTTTATATAGCATTTTAATTATTTATATAAAGCAGTAGCCGCGGCTTCGCCCGCGTTCAAAATACTAAAAAAAAAACTCTTTGACACACCGACTGCAAGTGTCACCTACCGGGTCCATTTGTGAATTTAAATCTTGCAGGAAATCACTCGAACATACAAAAAAAATCATTAAAATCGTCCCTGCCGTTTAGAAGACCTATGTCCTATTGTTTTTTCATTGTGTTTCCATACAGGAACCCATTGAAATATACACAAAAATTTCATCCAGATCGGTCCGTCCAGCCGCTTACGAGGAGTTAAGCGACAAACACACGTACAGAAGAATTATATATATTAAGATATGCCTTCTAATATATTGTGTCTAAAGTTGTATATATTTTTTCACTATTTACTATTATTTAAATTCGCATATTTACTACAAGAATATAAGAATAATTTAAAATCTCTGGAATCGTAGCCGTTTATACTTTCTACAAACTTAGCTCTCGTAAAGTTTGCGAAGCGATTAGTCATAAATAATTGAACGCAGCCAATATTCCCGTGTAAGAAGACAAAGAGATGACTTCCCTAAAACTTTGTCGATTTACGTGGAGACCGTAAAGACTTAGTCGTTCATGTCCGTACTTGGCAGAAAAGTGGAGGTAACATCATGAGAAGTTTCCAGTCGTACTTACCTTGTCTAGAAAGGGATCAAACTGCGGTGCATTCACTGCAATGTATTATGCAGTCTTAGAACGGGCGCCAGTGTAAGCAGCTCGGAATCACTCCACTTCCTTAAGAACACTGCTATTCTAAGGAAATGTTCAATTCTAAAAATTCTAAGAGTGTGTTCATGTTCAAAGTATTACATACATATACATTAAGTATATAGTTATATTTTAAAATGACCAGCACGGGTGTATATGTATGTATTTATATTAACTTGTTAAAAGCTAAAGTACATATACGTATATAACTTTAGAATTGGTTATTATTTTTTTCTGTTGTTCATGAAGTCGTCATATTATACTATTTACAATGTGTATAGTCTCCCATTTCCATATCTTAATATGAGAGAAAAAACCTTATTGTTTAAGTTATAAATTAAGACT